CAGAAGGTCATGAATGATCTGTTAGGACACCTACTTTTTATTCGTGTTTATCTCGATGATATTCTTATTTGTTCCTTAAATTAAGAGAAACATATTGAACACATTAAATCTATTCTAGAAATATTATTAAAGAATAATATCGCTATAAATACAGAAAAATGCGAGTGGTGTCAAACTCAGGTTGAATATCTTGGTTTTATTATAGATGGTGAAGGTATTAAACCTGTAACAACTAAACTTTTTAATAATTTAAACATTAAGGAGCTTTTAAATAAAAAGGGTCTTCAAAGACTAATTAGTTTTATTAACTAATTTAAAGACTTAATTCCAACCTTTCATCAAGGTTAGCTCTCATAACACACATGACCAGTAAAATGTAAAATTTAAATGAACACAACTTCATAAAGATATTGTAAAAATAAAAATTTAATGACTTAAAAAAAATTAAATTTTTATCCGGATGTCAAATTACCATTTACAATTTATACAGATGTAAGTTACACCAATGTTTGTATTTCTCGTTCAACAATCAAAACTAATAGGGTTATTTAGTCGTAAATTGAATGAGGCTCAGTGTAAGTATACTGTTACTGAGAAAGAATGTTGAGCTATTTAAGTAATTTAGATCACTTTAAAAATATAATTTTTAATTCTGAAATAACAATCTTTACTGACCACTCTAATATGTTATTTCTCAACTCTTCAAAGCATCAAAGAGTTCAGAGATGGAGGATTCTTATCGAAGAATATAACCCTAATTTTAATTTTATAGAAGGCAAATCCAACATGGCTGCTGATTTTCTTTCTAGAACATTACTTATTCAAGAGGAAGAGGAGGAAAAGAAAGCTAAAGAAGCTGTTGTTAAATTCTATAAGGAATTTATTCATCCCGGTTCAAAAATACTTTTTAATAACATAAAAGGAAAATTTCCTAATGTAACTCGGTAATTAGTGGAATCTGTAACTTCATCATGTGAGATTTGTCTTGGTAATAAAATGTTAAATGTTGGGTATGAGCTCCTAAATGGTGAGGTAATAAGAAACAAGCCTTGGAATATTGTAAGCTTAGATATTATGGACAGCTGAATTTTATTGAAGAAAGAAAACTTTATCTGCTTTACATCATTGATAATACCTCTAGATACACAGAGTTAAGATAACTAAAGATTATTACAGCATATGAAGTTTGTAAGATTGGCATTCTTTTGATTGGCACCCCATTTTCCGATTTGTGCCTCATAAAATTTTATTAAATAAAAATTTTAAATCCTTAATGTAGTATAGTGAGCTATTAGAAGCTATTTCAGAAGACAATATTCTTTTAAGCTTTCTAGAGTTCATTGGAGCCATGAAACTCATGGGTGGAAGGCAGTATGGATTTTGTGAAAGCAAAAGACACTCCGTGGGAATTAGAAAGAGAGTTGACAATCACTTCTTTCTCCGGTGTAAGTTGTGCCGTAAAGAGCAAAGTCTCTTTGCGAATATCTTCTTTTGTTATGGAAAGGAAGAGCACGACTTGTAACATCAGTTCTGAAGTTGGTAAAACCTATCTTTCTTTATTTTAAGGAAAAAACAGTATATACATAATGACAGCGACCCGAATTAAAGAAACTGATACAGTGACCAACTGAACTAATTTCATCCGATTAGAAACTCAGAATTATATTATGAGTGAAAAATTAGGAGAATTGTGAAAGTTGTACAAATAAATGAATCTCTTTTTAGAGGTCGTCGAAAGTACAACCAAAAGACTTCTTCTTGATGACTTTATGGAGAGTCTTGATGATGCTCGTCGTAAAATTAATTATGGCGAACGTGACAATGGACCAAGGGTTTTTGGCATGGCTGAAGAAAGATCCAGGAAAGTCAAAATGTTTGTTGTGGAAAAGAAAGATCGATATTCTCTGCTTTCTCTTTTGCTTGAACACGTGGATAAGAATAGTGATATCAATAGTGATGGTTGGAAAGCTTTTTCTGGACTGGGTATTGTGTTTAACGACTATAAGGTCGTAAATCATTCAGAAAATTTTATTAACCCCAATACTCGTTGTCAAACTCAATTAATTGGGTGTGTTTTGGGTCAAGCAAAATTGAAGATTGTTACATCACATTGTGACAATACTAAAATGTAAAAGAAATATATGTTTAAAAGAATTTATTTATTAATAATTATCTTCAATATTTAAATATTAATATTAATTGTTTGTTTGTAATCAAATAAGCTATAAATAGAAATAATAAATTCTTTACCCCGAAATTTTAATATCTTCACCCAGCAGCAATAACCCTACGGGTTATGACAAAGATAATAAAGAATAAGAGGGGAACCACCTTATAATGTTACAAAGCCATTTGAGCTTTTTTTGTTTCTGTTTTCTTTTCAAAGAAGAATCTTTTGAAAATTTTTTAAAAATAATAGGAAAAGATAGTTAATAAACTTTATTCTTGTTGAATAAATATTTTTAATCTTCTAAAAATTTTACTGAAAAAAATAATATATAAAATTTGAGGCACCAATCCGATTATGGGGCATCAATCAAAACGGTAACAAATACAACTTAAATATATCATTTACATTTCAAGTAATTTTTTAACATTATTGAATGTAAAAACAAAAGCATATTTTATTAATATTCTTAATGCATTTGTATATGATATTGATTAAGCATATAAAAATCTTTATTTATAAATTATAAAATATTTACCCCCGTCTTAATAATTTTTATGTAAAAAAAGATTCAAGTAATTAAAAAGAAAAATAATAACATTATGAATAAGGTTTAAATTATTTTAAAAAAATTATAATATACATGTTTTAATCAGTATATAAAAAACAATTTTATTTGACTTAATCAATTTATTTATATATTTAAAGATTATATTATTTAAAAATATTCAATTTTTTATCATTTAAACAAAATTTAAAAATTATATTTTTATTTCTGTTTAAACCCAAAAAATAATTCTAGAAGGGCTCAAAGTGTAGAAAAAGTAAAAAAAACAATTAGTGTTTAAAAGACAATTTTATTATAAAATATCATTAAAAAAATAAATAAGACCTTTAAATATAACACAATTTGAATTTATAGGTATATAAATCAACTTTTCATGCCTTTATAAACTTATTAAATGTGATATAAAAACTTCAAAATACTAAAAATCTAATAATATTTAAAAATTTATAAATCATAAATAAAGATCAATTATTTTTTAATAATATTATTGAAAAGTAATTAAGACAAACTGCATGCTTATAATAACTTATTGATTTGTAAATAAATTAAAAAACTACAGATTAATAGTAAATATATTTATTAATAAATGGCTAATGATGAGAAGAACAAAAAATTAATATAAAATTAAAGAATAAAAATTATTATCAACACTTACATTTAGTTTATACCAATCAGTTTTAATTCAATTCGTTTGTTAAAAAATTTATTACAGTAATTACTATTTTAAAAAAATATCTTAGCATAAAACAAAATTATCTTATTTTTACAAAAAGAGATTTTTATAAAAAAGGAGAAGTTTTTAGAGATTTTAAATAAAATTACATAATACACTAGTAATTACAAATAAATGTTATAAAAAAATCCTTTAATTATAAAAAACTATAAATTCTAAAATCAAAAATTTAAAACCTTCAAACAAAAAACATTAAAATTTTTTAATGAATATTATTTAAAAAATATTAATAATTTCATATATAAAGTTAAATCACTATTTAAACAAAAATTTATAAAAAATCATTATTTAAATAAAATTTTATAAAAAAATGTGATTTTTTAATAAATTTTTAATCCTCAAATTTCAATGGGAATTTCTGATAAAATAGCAGATGTTGAAAATTAAATAGCCAGAACACAAAAAAATAAAGCAACAGAACATCATCTAGGAATATTAAAAGCCAAACTAGCTAAATTGAAAGCAGAATTAGATCTTCCAAAGGGAGCAGCAGTTAAAGGTAAAGGATGGGAAATATCTAAGTCAGGAGATGGACGAGCATGTTTGATTGGATTTCCATCGGTTGGTAAGTCAACATTTTTGAGTCTTGTAACAAACACTTTTAGTAAAGTTGCTGAACACGAATTTACGACAGTTGATTGTATAGCGGGTACACTTTCCCATAATGGAGCTATAATACAATTATTAGATTTGCCTGGTATTATTGATGGAGCAGCATCAAATAAAGGACGAGGAAGACAAATTTTATCAACAGCCAAAACATCAGACATTATAATTATGATGTTAGACTATAATAGACCACATGATAAGGATGTGTTAACTAGAGAACTTTATAAAATGGGAATAAGATTAAATCGAAAAAGACCAGACGTCACTTTAACAATGACAGGTAAGAATATAAACGGAAGAGGATTAGCAATATCCAGTACTGTTAGACTTACTAAAATAACAGAGGAAACCATTCAGGGAATTCTTAAAACTTATAAAATTTATAACTGTCAATTAACAATAAGAGAAGATATTACAGTAGACGATCTTATTGACGTTTTGAGTGGTAATGTATCATATGTTCCATGTGTTTATGTTTATAACAAGGTTGATGAATT